GCGCAGCCCGCGAGCAAGCGAGCCGTTGGCCAGCGCGGCAAACAGCGCGTCCAGAGCAGCCGGGTCGTTGGTGCCCGGCGCCAGGCACAGCTGCCCTGCGGGGCACTGGCCATCCTCGTCGGGCTCCCGAGTGAACACAAAAGGGTGCTCCACGAGGGTCACCACGCGCAGCCGGGGCCTTGCCTGGGTGCCCTGCGGGGCTGGGGGGTGCGGGGCAGCTGCTCCGGGCTCCAGGTCCAGCCGCCCATCCCGCCAGCTGCCCACAGTGGCCCAGGCTGGCGTGCCCCGCCGGTTCCGGCGCAGGCTCCACACCTTGAAGTGCCGAGACATGTGGACCTGGGAGGTGTCAGTCACCCACACTGGCCCTGTGCGGCCCTGGAAGGATGTGTTGGCCAGGAACCTGGGGGACAGCAGTGCTCAGAGCCTCCCACTGAGCACAGGGGTGGCATTATCTGTGCAGGGGACAGCAGGGCATGCCTTCACAGCCGGGCCTGTTCCCTGGTGCCTCTGCTATTGCGGGGGGCCGGTTCTGGGGTTCCTGGGGGCCAGAGACCCCCACCCAGAGCCCCATCGCCTTGCTCCCAGGCCCAGGTCCCCGCCCCCCAGGGCTGGTCTGTTGGCCAGCTCTGTGGGGCTGCAGGACTAGCCTGGCCTGCCCGTGGGGCACCCAGCCATGGCTGCCCCACCTAGCAGCTGCTCCTGCACCCAGACCCTTGGGCTCCTCAGCTCCCTCCCCTACCCCCGCCCTTCCTTCCTGCCCCCGTTTCCACCTAAGGCTGGGGCACAGCCACCTGTCTGGTGGGGACTCGGCACAGAGCCAGCGGGGCCCGTGGGCGAGATGCCGGCCTAGTGGCCCTTCCCGAAGCAGGGCTCTGACTCACCGTGCCAGGAGGCGCCCCGAGGACTCTGGCCGGGCAAGTTGCAGGTCGCTGCAGTTGGCCGTGGCCAGGAGGAGGCTGCGCTCTGGGTGCTCATGGGCCGCGTTGCCCAGCGCCCTTGCCACCAGCTCCACAGCATCGTGGACAGCGGCCTCCA